GCAGGCGTTGAGGCCCCGTGACCCGTGAAATCTATCTTCAAAACTAATTTCTGTTTACTTTAAAATGACACGGTATTATTCAGCAAAGTATTTTAAAATCAGTTCCAAACTGATTTTTGTATTTTTTTTCAACTCAAAATTGTCTGGGAGCCATATGCCGTCACCAGAAGAGCCATATATGGCTCGCGAGCCATAGGTTCCCGACCGCTGTTCTAGACAGAATTCGTTTAGCATTAGAAGAAGTTACAGCAGCAGAGGTTAGTGTAAATGCGATTGGTATTACCTTAGAACCTGTCACCCTTATCGAGAAAGGCGAACGAATTTTGTCTCTCTCCATTCCTGTCCTAATCGGTTGACATACTATCTCAATCATCGCCATCACTCGTCATCATGAGTAATGGCAGAAATCGTTGTCTATCCACTGCTGGATGTGGGCCTCCCCCGCGTCGTCTGTGCCATCACTCACGGTCAAATACCTATCCTTAGGTTTTTTTTCCGTAAAGTCACGTAGGTAAAAAATTAAAATTAATAAAAGTAAAATGAAATAAAAAAATCACGACGTTTCGGAGGCAACACAAGCTTCCGTCTTCAGGTGGAACCGTCCCAGCACGATAGCTGTATCAAGTGAGAGAAATTCCAAGAACACAGTATTTGTATATACTGGTTGAGGGTGGGAGGAGCCAAGGTAGGCCGCATCATCTCTACGTAACAAAAAGGCTCAGTCCCTTTAACACGCACCTTTACATCATCCGCACCTAGTTTACACAACAAAGGCCCATTCTTAACAGCGTGCTTCAGCCGCACCGAACCTCACTAATGACGGAGGGCAGGGGAGCGACGCTCACAACAACGAGCGGAGCGCCGGGCGAATAAAACACAGAAAGTTTACATAGTGGGGAGCACATCTGCCAGTTATCTCAGTCAGAATCAGAATATTTATACTGGCGAATTCCGATGAGCAAAAACGCTATTTTGTCACAGATGTCCAGTAGGAGCGGGTAACAATGTTACAAAAAACAGTAGAAAAAGATGATAGTCGTGCAACGTACAAGAAAGATAAACAAATCACCCAAACTCTTTGGTTCTTTCGGTAAAGTAACGTAAGTATAAATAAAATGAAAAGGTTGGTGCGGCTGAAGCTTATCATAATAATAAAAAAAACTCCTATCCAGGGGCCTACCCTGGCTCCTCCCCCCTCAACCAGTATATATACAAGGTCGGGTCTCTTGGAATTTCTCTTTTACTTGATACAGCAAGCGTGCTGTGACGGTTCCACCTGAAGACGGAAGCTTGTGTTGCCTCCGAAACGTCGTGATTTTAATTTTACTTTTATTAATTTTTATTTAATTTTAATTTTTTTACCTACGTGACTTTACCGAATCCTTGCAGTCACGAAAGCTTCAAATCTAGAACTGCTGAATTCAGACACCGCCTCGTTATACGAATGCACGCACGTCGCATTGTGCGCGCAGCTCGGATGCGATTACTCGTGATGTCGCGCCTTTGTTTGCTGCCGTTCGGTTTGTTAATGACCAACGGAGACAAACCAAAGCGGACAGACTTCGTGCGACCCTCTGAATGAAATCGCGATTTGGAATCGAGTCACATTTGTCCGATTGTGTATAACGCAGCACGGAATAACAAACGCGGCGTGCCCGCTGCGTTACTCGGGGGAAAGTAAATATTTTGGGACTAACGTTTTCGACAAACGACATGAAGGAGGGGGATCTGAAATGTTGTACTAATGTTTATGTAAAGGAGAGCCGACGCAAGGTTGCAGGGGGTTCGTCTTTTAATTATTTTCTCCCATCCACACCTGTCCCCAGCCGTCCCAATCTCGTTCCCACCAAAGGCCCCCTCTTCCCGCCCGTTCTCCCCTAATATCCCCTCGATCACCCCTCCCACTAACCCTCCTATTGGTGGGAATCATTCCCCTGACACCCCTACAGATAAATACGTGTTCGTTTATGTTGTTGTTGTTGCAGCGCAGTGATAATCATTTTCATGGCGGGAATGTTCAGTTTAAACGAGTGCTTGTTTGTCAACGCAGTCCCATTCATGTTTTTATTGCACTCAAAATAAAACAGCTAGTATGGTAATTTGGTTTTATCTTATGCTCTGAATTCGGGCCGTTGTCCGAAACGTTGTTTATGATATATTTAATAAACTTCCCCCCCCCCCCTTTTAAGTTTGTGTTATAGACGAATGTGTCGTTCGAGTTTGAGTTTATTTGATCCTTGACATAAAGCTTTCGTGACTGCAGGAATTCATATTTTTTGGGTCTTTCGGTAAAGTCACGAAGATAGGTTCAAAGAAAATGACAAAAGAAAACAAGAAAACTACAACGTTTCGATCGCAACACAAGCGTTCGTCATCAGTACTTTATCGAAAGACCCAAAGAATACTTATTTGATCCGTTACACGAATGATCTCGTTTTCATGTATGTACGTGTAAGGATATTATCCTTGTGTAATGACAATAGAGCCTGCTGCGGTGTGGAGGGACCAGCGGCCATGGGAGGTAATGACAGGGGAATCAGTTGTGAGTGCGAAGCGACTGGTGGCCACGGTAGGTAATGACAGGGGTATCAGTTGTGAGTGCGAAGGGACTGGTGGTCACGGGAGGTAATGACAGGTGAGTCAGTTGTGAGTGCGACGGGACTGGTGGCCACGGGAGGTAATGACAGGGGAGTCAGGTGTGAGTGCGAAGGACTGGTGGCCACGGGAGGTAATGACAGGGGAGTCAGTTGTGAGTGCGACGGGACTGGTGGCCACGGGAGGTAATGACAGGGAAGTCAGTTGTGAGTGCGAAGGGACTGGTGGCCACGGGAGGTAATGACAAGTGAGTCAGTTGTGAGTGCGATGGGACTGGTGGCCACGGGAGGTAATGACAGGGGAGTCAGTTGTGAGTGCAAAGGGACTGGTGGCTACGGGAGGTAATGACAGGGGAGCCAGCTGTGAGTGCGAAGGGACTGGTGGCCATGGGAGGTAATGACAGGGGTATCAGTTGTGAGTGCGAAGGGACTTGTGGCCACGGGAGGTAATGACAAGGGAGTCAGTTGTGAGTGTGAAGGGACTGGTGGCCACGGGAGGTAATGACAAGTGAGTCAGTTGTGAGTGCGATGGGACTGGTGGCCACGGGATGTAATGACAGGGGCATAAGTTGTGAGTGCGAAGGGACTCACACACGGAGATCCAGTGGTGCGTGAGCACAGCATCAACAATCACAAAGACAAGTATAACCCGTAAAAAACAAAGTTTTTCACTATAAATCCTTTATATGCGTGGTGGCTAGAGTCCTCTCGTCCTCTGGCTTGAGATGGCTGCCACCTATGGGTTAGATGATTGCATGGCACCATTAAGCAATTGGTAATTAAATATATTTTTGTCCTAAAAAGTGTAAAATTTAGGAAAAAAAATTTCACGAACATTAATTGTCACGCACAACGAGTCTGTGTCGAAAGTGTCAGCTCGATTGGATCACGGGAAGTGGGTTAAAAAACGACCGAAAGATTTGCACGGTCGTAAGCGATCAAGCAAGCAAGCGTGCAAGTGAACTTAATATAAAGGATTTAAAAAAAACAATATATTGTAGAGAACGAGACAAGGGTACTTAGGGAATATTGCACAACTAACAAACGAGGTGTTTGACGGTCCAAAAGGAAACACGCGCGAGCCAAAACCAGTGTAAATGTAATGCTCCCACATGTTTTTCACTGTCTTTTTTCTGTGTGCGTGTGTTTATGTCACTGTTAGATTAGCACGGCCGGCTACGTACGGTGCGAAAGAAGTTCGAAATATTATTATAACATGCATTTTGAGGTGCTGCTATAAAATTCCACATGATAAGCCGCTAAGTTGAGCTATCATTTGTTGACAGGTCGCTTCTGAAAAATAAGCTAATAGCTCAGTGGGCTTTACCTGGTAATAAAAAAAGTTTAGTTTTATTTGTATGTATATTTAAGTGATTTGTTTACCTTTCCTGTACTTTGCACTCCAATTTTATAATGTATCATTTATTGTAGCAAAGTTTTGACCTGCCCCCTACTGGACTTCTGTGGAAAAAAATTTCCTCCTCGAGTATTCTTAAATATTCAGATGTTGTGTTTGGTGGGGGCCATCAGTCTACGTTCCGTTCGCTGCGTGCTGCGACTTCTTTCACCACAGCCGCACTTGACATCTGTGACAAAGAACTTCAAATCTCATCTGATTTCCTCCTGCAGTCTAAATAAATATCCCCATTCTGAGTCCTTACGTAAGATGGCCGCGGCGCCCAACACTCTTAACCGATGACCCCCTCCCCCATCTCCCGTACCCTCACGTAAGATGGCCGCGGCGCCCAACACAACCAGTGACCCCCCAACTCCCGTACCCTCACGTAAGATGGCCGCGGCATCCAACACTTCACCGGTGACCTCCCCCCAACTCCCGTACCCTCACGTAAGATGGCCGCGGCGCCCAACAACCGGTGATCCCCCCACATCGCTCGTACCCTCACGTAAGATGGCCGCGGCACCCAACACTTAGCCGTTAACCCCCCCCCCCCCATATCTCCCGTACCCTCACGTAAGATGGCCGCGGCGCCCAACAACCGGTGATCCCCCCTCATCGCTCGTACCCTCACGTAAGATGGCCGCGGCGCCCAACACTCTTAACCGGTGACCCCCTCCCCCATCTCCCGTACCCTCACGTAAGATGGCCGCGGCGCCCAACACAACCGGTGACCCCCCCCCCCCCACATCGCTCGTAACCCTCACGTAAGATGGCCGCTGGCGCCCAACATTTAACCGTTAACCCCCCCCCCCCCCTATCTCCCGTACCCTCACGTAAGATGGCCGCGGCGCCCAACACTTAACCGTTAACACCCCATATCTCCCGTACCCTCACGTAAGATGGCCGCCGCCTGTCTACGTTACGCGATGATGTCACGGGACCCCTCGACTGCCCCGCCTCCTCCCCACCCCTCCCCCCCACCCCCCTTCGCGCTATAAAAGCCGCCGCGTCACGTGACGCCGTCCCTTTCCCAAGCACCCCCGCGCGCAGCAGCAGCAGCAGCACGAGGAGGAGCAAGACGCGTGCCCGGCTCACCGCTGTTCGTCGCTTCAGAGAGTTCAACTCATTGTCTGTGGGACGAATACGTCGGCCGGCGGTCACGATGGTGAGCGTCTCTCGCCTCGTTACCGGCACTCGCTCGCGAATTGTTTGGTGTATCATGCGGTGCAAGTTGACGTGGTGGTGGATTTTAACGACTGGGTCCGCCATTGCGGCCTGTGCGATGCGAGCCCCTTTGGGCAGCAGGCATTGTAAGAGACGCACTTTCTCCCCGCGTTTTTAAATAAAAACAATATATAAAGGATACGTTGGCCCGTGGTGGTTGCGAGCTGCGTTTGGCTATGAGGATAAATCGTAGATATGACTTTTTTACGGTGATTCACCTATACGCTATTCTGAGCCAAACGCACCCAGCTACAGCGCACGTGTGTGTGCAGCGATTGCAATATCCATCAGCCTCTTGCGCGGTCGATAAAGTAGGGTGTGGGATCAACAGGGAGACCTAAGTTTTGGGTCTAGGATGTGACTTGGAATACTTTCTCGCGTGACAACTTTGTGTTTATATATGTTTTGTGCTTTTTTTTACTTTTACGTTCGGGAAGTTTTCATCTTCTTTGTCATCGCTATATGTATTTGGTCCCTGTGTACAATTATTGTAGTGGTTTTTAACCTGTGGTGTGCGAGATGCCCTTTATGGGGGTGCGAGAAATTCCCGCATTTTGTTTTCGAAGGTAAATCGTTGAAACGCAAATTAAGTATGGGCACTAATTCTAGATTTGAAGCTTTCGTGACTGCAAGGATTCATATTCTTAGGTTTTTTTCGGTAAAGTCACGTAGGTTAAACATTATAATTAATAAAAGTAAAATAAGATAAAAATCACGACGTTTCGGAGGCAACACAAGTCTCCGTCATCAGGTGGGACCGTCACAGCCAGATTTGCTGCATCAAGATTTTTTATTTTATTTTACTTTTATTAATTTTAATGTTTTACCTACGTGACTTTACCGAAAAAACCTAAGAATATAAGTATGGGCACGTTAAGTTACAACTTTGTTTCATCAAACCTATGTGTTTGTTAACGTACATTTTTTACGATTTAGAATCAAAGGTGTGCAAGGCTGTAGCAGTCAAGGTTAAGAACCACTGAATTATTGTAAAGCCTTGTGGGATGCAATTAACATTAATTAAAATATTAAATTATTCAAATGCAATTACATATGATTGACGTCATGCACAGAAGCGAGTGGTTTACTGGATTGTATTTTTAGTTTACTTAACCGACTAATCGCCCCAAATTTGCCCCTCGACATGAAGAATATATATAATTTATACATCCCATCAGCAACACAGTCATCCGGGAATGCATAATTTAAGCAGCTTCGGATTAATGCGAGCAAACTGGGCCTGTTTTTGACGTTCGTCATCGCATCAGCAGTTAGGCTTACTTGAACCAATTCTGGAGTACTGCCAGATGTCCATAGGCAAGGGCCGTCTTGCTGTACATGTATGTTACGTGTTGGATATACAGTAGTGTGTAACCCGTGTGTGTGTGTGTGTGACTCCGCCAGGCATACAAAGACGCAGGCAAGGCTCCCGTGGACTCGGAGGTGTCCATCCATCGCATCCGCATCACCCTCACCAGCCGCAATGTCAAGTCTCTGGAGAAGGGTGAGTGGCCGCTGATTCTTGAATCCATCTGTGAGGGGCGTTGAGTGTGGATATGAAGCCAAACGCGCCCGCTAATGGAATTCATGGCCAAACATCTCCATGTAGTGTGACCCTCTTGTTTTTTTTGCTGGTGGCTAGCCTGTCCTATAAATCGTGTGACATGATACTCTATACTCACGACTCACCTAAAGCCACTCACCAGTTAACGCAATGTTTTGTTGCTTCCCAATTGACACAACATCAGAGCGCTGGTAACTTTAGTAAACGTAACATTAAAGGTAGCATCAAGCCAGAATCTACAGTGCTCAAGCAAGTGTCTTTAGAACGGGTAGTTTTGACAGGTATCTATAAAAATGATATCTTTATTACAGGTATTTCTAACAATGGTAACATTTGAGCAGGGGATCGTTAATATCACAAGGTGTTGTTAACACGGTCAGCGGAGTTGATGCGGTAATAGCGAGCGGCGTTTGGCGATGAGGACAAACCACAGCTATGATTCACAGTGATTCACCTATACGCTATTCTGAGCCAAACACCTCCCACCGCTCGTGTTTGCCGACTTATCATCCCTCCGCGGCCGATAAAATGGTTACCGCTTTGTGGGAAGCCAATCAACGAAATGTTGATTAATCTATTACATTTCGATTTAAAGCTTTCGTGACTGCAGGGATTCATCTTCTTGGTTCTTTCGGTAAAGTCACGTAGAAGGGAAATAATAAAGTAATAAATAAAACATAATAAAATAATTCTCATGACGTTTCGGCCACAGCGCAAGCAGCCGTCCTCAGACGCTGTCTTTCCGACAGACCTGTTCTTCACCTGAGGACAGCTGCTTGCGTTGTGGCCGAATCGTCGTGAGAAGAATTTTATTACGACTCGTGATAATTATTTGCCAAAACATGGTACGTGGTGCCACGGTGGTTAACATGCCGCACGATGAATCCAGTGACCTGTGGTTGATTTCCTGCCACGGCTAACATCGGTGACGAGTGATGGCTGAACCGGTAACCCACCCGCCCCCCCCCCCACCAGCATTCACTAAACCACACTGACATTAACGTGCTGAAGTTGAAGTATGGTAAAATACTCTTAGTTTTTTCGGTAAAGTCGCGTGGGTAAAAATGTAAAATTAATAAAATAAAATATAAATCACGACGTTTCGGAGGCAACACAAGCTTCCGTCTTCAGGTGGAACCGTCACAGCACGATAGCTGTGTCAAGTGAGAAAATTCCAAGAAAACAGTCCTTGTATATATACTGGTTGAGGGTGGGAGGAGCCAAGGTAGGCCCTGAATATTATTTTTGTGAGGTCCGGTGCGGCTGAAGCACGCTGTTAGGAATGAGCCTTTGTTGTGTAAACTAGGTGCGGATGATGTAAAGGTGCGTGTAAAAGGGAAATAACTCGCACGGTCTGCCAGGTGTGTGGGGGGAGTCTCTGTTCCAGTGGTGGAGTGACAAAAGGGCTGTACATGTACAATGTTAACTTGCGCAGGTGCAGAGGAGGTGTGTGCAGTCACTTGATTGGCAATAACTGCGTTTGCTGTCTTAATCATTTCCCTCCCCGGGGCGTCTCTCCGTTGGGCAGTCTGCGCCGACCTCATCCGTGGCGCCAAGGACAAGAATCTTCGCGTGAAGGGACCGGTCCGCATGCCCACCAAGGTGGGGGCTCCTGCACCAGTTGCTCGCTGCTTTCTTCTTGCTTTATTTATCATCACTATGAGACCTCAGTAGTAGGTTTTTACCCTTTTAAACTGGTACAAAACTGACACCTTTGTTCAAGGCATCATGTTTGCAATAACCACAACACAAGTAGTCAAAAAGCAAACAAAAAGAAGCAACTCTGATAATGATAATAATATGCACTGTCCTTGAAGTTGATTGGTCCACACCCGAGACGGCTTTCTTTAGAGCCTAGTCCCCATTGGTGTTGGACCAGATGACACCAGAAGGCGTACAACTCAAACACAGTGCAATATCAGAGTATTGAGAGCTCGGGGTAAGCATTTACACTGAGATCTCTTTTACCTCCTTTACCAGTGGCAAACTATAGTAATATGTTTTTACCCTTTCAACTGGTACAAAAACTGACACCTTTATACAAGGCATCATGTTTGCAATAACTACAACACAAGCAGTCAAAATGCAAACAAAAAGAAACAACTCTGATGATGATAACAGGACAGCGCATATCATTATCATCATCAGAGTTGTTTCTTTTTGTTTGCATTTTGACTGCTTGTGTTGTGTGTATTGCAAACATGATGCCTTGTATTAAGGTGTCAGTTTTTGTACCAGTTGAAAGGGTAAAAACTATTACTACTTTATTTATCATCGTTCCATGTTTTTTTTTTCCCAGGCAAGATAGTCGATCTTTGCAGTTTTGGTTGCACAACTTCTCTGCGTCTGCTCTCTAAGACTATGTCTGGGTATCTAGGACAAGTGCAAGATTTCGTTTCACTGTGCAGAAACTATGCAAAAAAAACTTTGGATCAGATTGATCTGACAATCGGGAACACATCCCTCCCGTGAAAGACGGCGATGGTTTTGGGGAGGTCTCCATTCGGCGCTGGGATAGTTTCACGGCTGGTGACAATGACGACAGGCGACGGTGGTGATCTCGCTGCTTTGTGCAGGTGCTGCGCATCACAACGCGCAAGACCCCGTGCGGTGAGGGCTCCAAGACGTGGGATCGCTTCCAGATGCGCATCCACAAGCGGCTCATCGACCTGCACAGCCCCTCCGAGATCGTCAAGCAGATCACCTCCATCAGCATCGAGCCAGGCGTCGAGGTGGAGGTCACCATCGCCGACGCTTAGGCTCTCGCCCGATGACTCGCTCACTCGCCCGATCGCTCACCCACCCGTTTGATTGCTCGCTCGTGTAAGCGCGTGCTTGTGTGTTTGATTACGTAAAGGAACACTCAGGTGGGCCTGCGTGACCAGGTACTCGCACATTGTGTACACCGTACCCACACTGAGTAAGCATAGCGCGCGCGTGCACACAACAGTGTACACGTTGTACGCTAACGCGGGATGGTGTTGCGTCGGGCAGTGAGTGCAGCGGAAACCGAGTGCCATCGAGCAGTGGAGAACCGATGCCACGTGCATTTGTTAAAGAATTTGAAAAATAAAAATGAAAAATTTAGAAGTGCCTTGTTTGCTTGTTGGCTGATGGTGTTTGGTGTGTTTTTCTTCATCCTGATCTTGTAAAGCATACATTTGTGAAAAAGCCAGTTAGCTGAAACGCCAGGCTCTTGCTGACGTGAAAACTTGTTTTATTGTTTTTTCTTGAAATAAGTTAGGACTTTAACTTACACCATTGGAACCTCATTTGCCAGTAGCAAAATATGATAATTGGTTTTTTACTCTTTATCTGGCAACAAAACTGACACCTTTTTTACAAGGAGTCATGTTTGCATTGACCACAATACCTGCAGTCGGAATGCAAACAAAAAACAACTCTAATGTAGGCACTGTCCTTGAAGTTGATTGGTCCACACCCGAGACAGCTTTCCTTTAGAGCCTAGTCTCAATTTCAAGGATAGTGCATACATTATCAGAGTTATGTTTTTTGCTTGCATTCCGACTGCAGGTATTGTGGTCAATGCAAACATGACTCCTTGTAAAAAAGGTGTCGGTTTTGTTGCCAGATAAAAGGGTAAAAAACTAATTATCAGACTAACTTAATGGATGACTTGTATACCAATTAAACTAATAAATGCTCATGTCCCCTGGTGGACTGCTATGCTCTGTTGGCTGTCCAGCTGCTATGCACATGCCTCAACTCTCGGCGTGTGCAGTCAGATTATTTCGACTGGAAGAATCCAATAAGCTATTAAACTTTCACGGATGTCCGGTATGAGTGGGTCGGCAAGTTACGACATACTCTTGTGTGAAAACCTCAAAAGGTCCGAGGGACGAGTCAACCTCCAACCACGATGTGAACGCTCAACCTGCCGATGTGGCCCACTGTCTCTACCGCTGAGCCACCATGCTCGCCTCGTGGTGGAATATTGAGGTTACTTCTAGACTTCACTGCTATCAACGGAGCCAAACTATAACATCAAGAAAGACGACGGTAACGCCATATTCATAAAGCCAGAATAAGGCTATGTTAAGGGTTAAAACACTTGAGTCAGATTACATGCTTTATTTGGAACTGTGAAACCCGTCTCGGGCTTGGCTCGGAGCCATGCTGGAGCCAGCTCTCGAGTATGGGTCACAAGCATGCTCAATATTTCTAGATTTGAAGCTTTCGTGACTGCAAGGATTCATACTGTTAGGTTTTTTCGGTAAAGTCACGTAGGTAAAAAATAAAATTAAAAGTTAATAAAAGTAATAATGGAAATCAAATAATAAATCACGACGTTTTGGAGGCAACACAAGTCTCCGTCATCAGGTGGGACCGTCACAGCTAAAATTGATGCAGTAATTTTAGCTGTGACGGTCCCACCTGATGACGGAGACTTGTGTTGCCTCCGAAACGTGATTTTTTATTTTATTTCCATTATTACTTTTATTAACTTTTAATTTTATTTTTTACTTACGTGACTTTACCGAAAAAACCTAACGGTATGCTCAATATTCACATGAGTTGAGCCCAGAGCCAAGGATGAGCCGCTTACTCCTCTGCCGTCGAAAGCAACCGAGAGGGTGAGGGAGGAGCAAGCCGGAGCTAAGGCGTGACTCAAGAACACGGACGGCGCATTGACGTCACGTTCGTATCTTAGCGCTACAGCTCGGTTAGGGTCTCTCGCGGTTCTGCCCAAAGTTATCCGGGCCGAGGAATCACAGAGCCGCACAATGCGGACAAGCCGGCCTGCAATGAGCATCACCTGGTCATCGTGGTAAGGCGCCCACCTGCGCACCGCCCCTGCAATTACGGTTAGAGCTTTGGGGCTCGCCCAGGTGAGCCTCGGTGCGTGGCAGGTGCGGCCAGGGGAGGGCAGATCCTCACCTGACATACTCCAATGAAAATAGCTTTTACGAAAAATAAATATTAAGATGTTTCCAACGATCTGTGTTATAAATGTCATTTCTGTATGATTCCAATAAATTTTTCTATAGTAAAAAAATGTCACCAATGTAATCATTGGTGCAATGTCATCATTGGTAACAGGCACGAACGCGCTTGTTGCCGCGCTACATCCAGTGTCTCAAGGGTTGCGCAATCGCCTCCCGTCTCTCCCTGCATTTGCAGCGGAGCTCCGCATATTTAGCGATTTTGAGTATATATTTTTTTGGGAATCATACAGAAATTACATTTATAACACAGAGCAGTGGGAAAAAAATCTTCATTTTCATTTGATTTAATAATTTTTTACTTTTAGTAACAGCTATTTTGATTGGAGTTTGACAGCCGAGGCTCTGCCTCCCCTGACCGCACATCCCCACCCTCCCCACCCAGCCCCACCCTCCCCACCCAGCCACACCCAGCCCCACCCTCCCCACCCAGCCCCTCCCTCCCACCCCAACCCACCCTCCCCACCCAGCCCCACCCCCTCCCATTTTGTATGCACGACAGACGGACACAATAATCTTCTGTGGGCTGGTGGAACCAGTGGGTTCTTACCAGTATTAACGACTGCACAGCTCTGCTCTCTCTCTCTGGATGTCTTCCCTCTCTACTGCCGTGACTCTTGCACCGTCGCGTCTCTCTCTCTCTCTCCACGCTCGCCGCGAGCTGGCGGAGAATTTTCTAATGAAGATAACATTTTTAATTTCGATTTAAAGCTTTCGTGACTGCAGGGATTCATCTTTACCGAAAAAACCAAGAAGATAACATTTTAAGTTAATGAGAAACCGCTGCAAGTCTGATCTGTGCCTCGGGCGAGGTCTCGGAGCGGCTGTGAAGGCATCCGAGTGAAAGATATTCCTTCATTGCGACGAGCTTCGCAATGTAACCACCACGTTTGCGACCCATTTAGGGCGATGAAAAAGGCGCCCATGGCTGCTATGACGATGTCACAACGCTAGGTTGCACTGTGCAGACATAGGTCACGGTCTACACGCTCGACGCTTTCGCAGTTTCCACGGAGTTATATGGTGTTGCCTGGATGGTCATGGTGACATTTGAATGCTTTGTTTATAAATGCCTACCGTTGGTAGATAAGTTGTATCACTTTCACCATAAGGCCAATAACATGGTTTCTCTTACAACACATTCAGATCACAACAGCGCCTCCTAGTGGAAATGTCACGAGCCGCCACTGCTTGCCTGGTATGCAGTGGTCGATTCAGCCACAAGTCTTGAATATTTGGAGTTTGCATGCTTTCACCACGGTTGTGCTGATTTTTCGCCGGGTCCTCCTGTTTTCCCTCCACATTTACAAACATGTTAGAGTATTTGGCCGCTCTACATTTTTTACCAGACGCATGCAAAGGTGTGCTGCACAGACAACTCACATCCACGTGCATTTTGTGCAACCAAATTGCACTTACAATGCTCTCAGCCTTGTCTAGACCACCAGCTCAAAAGAACTGTATTATCATTTAGGCCACCATTATCAAAGGGAGTTGATGTGACCATCCCATTATTTCTAATGATAAACTCATATAACACCATGCCCTTGAAAATCATATAATAGTTGAGGTTTCCAGGCAATGGTCATTCTCACATTTGTTCTATGGAGAAGTACCGTTTCCTGAAACGCGGCCTATTACGTATATTTCCTTGCAAGGCCACGATGTTTTTTGACGAACGTGTAGAGTTTCTTCTTGTCGTTTGTGCTTACGCACCCCCAACTGCCAACGCAGCGTCAACAAAAAAAAGCATTTTTTTTTTGGCCTGGACTTTTGCAGCTGTTTTAGACTAATTTCAGGGTGCGGATTCCAAATCTGATCTCAGATTTGCTCCATCACATCTCATTTTTATGCTATCGGCATACCCCATTTTCATCGATTTTACCCGAAATTAACTCTGTCACTTATGATTGCAAGTTGTTGCGATGTCAGCGACTGCTTTAGTGTTAAAATATGGTGCTGTATTTTTAGGATAGTGTGTTTATAATATCATTTTATGTAGATATCTACATTTATTTAATATTTTTCTTCTGCAGTTTTTATTGAAAATGCAATATTTGATATCTCAAAAACCGATGCCAGATTTGGAATCAGCACCCCAAAATTACCTAAACCCGTTGGAATACCTTATGCCAGAAAAAGTGTGTTGACCAGTGTAATGTGGCGTTCATGAGGTTGTGCTACGCGGCTCGAGGAGCTAAACAAACACAACAAGGATGGAGACGGCGGCAGGTTGAGTGACACTTTTATTGTTCCATCGCGATCGTCGGGACGATGCAGGAGGAGCAGGAAGAGCTTCACTTGCCCTTGAAGTACTCCTCCAGCACGTCCTTGGCTTGCGTCTCCTTGCCGTAGTCCTGCAGGGAAGCGCACGCGAAAACACAAATACAAACATCACCCATGCAGCCTACACAGGGGCCGTTTGGGGGCAAGTGCTGTGAAAGCAAGCGCCTATGAAGGCCGGCACGGCGCAGGTTTGAGGGGACGGGGAAACGCACGCGAGAATACAAAGATCACCCATGTAGCCTACACAGGCCGTTTGGGGCAAGTGCTGTGATTAGCAAGCGCCTATGAAGGCCGGCACGGCGCAGGTTTGAGGGGACGGGGAAGCGCACGCGAGAACACAAATACAAAGATCACCCATGTAGCCTACACAGGCCGTTTGGGGCAAGTGCTGTGATAGCAAGCGCCTATGAAGGCCGGCACGGCGCAGGTTTGAGGGGGGTGAGTGGTGTCGCCTCGCAGTACCGATGTTAACAAACGCAACACCAGGTAGTACTCATTTAATAAAGCAGTCGACCTACGGAGGCCCACAGCCTGGTAGGACATTCATCACTGTTAGTCTGGGCTGCGACTAACTCAGCTCGTTACGTTGGCAACGCATTACACTAACACTCCCAGTACGAAAAAACACAAACGTGCAAAAATCCTCGTGATGACATGCTGGGACGCACCAGTCCGTTACATTACAGGACTCACAAATGAGCATGCACGAACACGCACAAACGAACACACACGCACACACACACACACAAGAACACAACGCTCGTGATGACACGCTGGACCGCAGAGGCCCACTTATCTTACGCACCTTCACGACCACGCAGCTGCATCCGACCACCTTGCGTGGTTTCCCCTCGCGGTCGATCTTGCAGAGCCCCGACCACTCGCCAAGCTTCTTGTTATCGTCCACCTGCGTTGTGCATCAACACCATCATCGCCGTCATCGTTAGCGTCAGTTACACTGCTACCACTATAACCATCATCACTGCCACCATCATTAACGTCACTATAAACTACCATCAAAACAAAGATCCCCCATGACATTTAAAATATTTTTGGGGTAAGTGCTGTTAGCGAGCATCCATTAAGCCCAACGAAGCTAATGAAGTTGTGGTTGGCCAGCACCATGTCTGGCCACCTTTGTCTCCCTCGTGATAGACACCGCACCAGGTAATCTCTTTAAGGCCGATTCGCCATGGGGGAGACCCAGGAATGGTTTAGATGTCACGGGTGTTGGTCCTTAACGGGAATCAAACTCGGGTAGCCGGTTTCAGAGTGGACCTAGGGAGGGGGGGACAAACCACGTTGCTGCTCAGAAGACGTTCTCACTCATAGAGGAGTGATTGGGAATCCGACGTCAAGTTCATCAACACAGCTACGCGGGTACTGGGCCTAGAGAGCCCTGGTGTGGCACTATGAGCCCTCAAAAATAAAAGCAGGCTCAAAGAACCAGGTGCATTAACAACAAAGCCTTCACCATACTAAGGGTATCCGAGTTTGGCTCTAAGAACCTCAAGCATTAACCTTAAAACTATTGGGGCTTGCGTTTAATCTGCCTCCAAAAACATCAAGTGTACTCCACAAACATAAATGTACGTTTTAGTCCATCAGCCTCTCTTAGCTTTCTAGACCAATGTTATCCAGCAGCATTTGCTTTAAGCGAGCAAACAGTCGACCAGTTTTCGACAATCTAGGTCGCATCAAGTCAGGTTTGTTAAACAAATGCTGCTGCATTACAAGTTGTCCGCATGAAAATGCATACTTAATTGCTCTAGATGCACCCAAATCACCCTGGCAAGAGGCAATGTTGTTTCACGGCTCTCACTGGGTTCATTGCAAACACCACAAATTACAACAATAACATTGTGGCTATAAAAAGGTAAACGCCTAGAATGGGTTACGTTCCGAGTTTAATGGCCCTTCACAACATGTTACATTACTTTTCCTTGTAAAACCAATGTTATGATGCACGTGTCGAGTTCGTTCATCGCGCTCACGCACCACTATCAACACCGCAGCAGCGTCGCCAAATAACGGGCGCTACCGAATCTCCCGGGATAAAGAACGCGCAATCCAACGACGGACCTGATGAGGTGATCTGGTGCTCGTTGCACAGGGCCTCCACCAGCTTCACGTAACATGGGCTCATCGCAGTTGCTGGCGAGGACGCACAGATGGGCGTGCCGCCTGCACACGCAAACACGACACCGCGGCAAAGTTAAAACACAAGAACCATTTGCCACTTCTTCGTATTGGCCGATGTTGTCGTAAGAGCCGGAACTGCGATTATACATCGAGGTGGGCGAGCTGGATAGTTGGGTCAAGAGTAGGACGTCACAACAGCGCTAGAGCCAGGCAATGTGCGCTCTGAAGCAAGAGCACAGATACGGCATGCTCGCAACACAACCAAAGTATTGTACACATTAAACAATCACACACGCAAAAGCATGCGTATGCACGCAACACGGAATAATGCACGTACACGCAATATCACGCAAAATATATCAGCAAAGGGTAGCATCACTTCATTATTATCACCACCAGAGCGAAAACAAAGATCCCGCCCCCCCCCCCCCCCCCCCCCCCCCCCCCCCCCCCACGTAGCCTTAAACTTTTGTGCAAGTGCTGTTAGGGAACACCTCTGAAGGCCGGCACGGTACACGAGCGTGTGGGTGGCCAACACCACGCCCGACGTTCATCTCCCGAGTGGCGCCGTTTACACATCACACTGCACCACTTGAGCACATCCTCACAAGCACGCGCACAAAGGCCAATGAGCACACGCACGAGACGTGAGCTGTTGAGGTTGTTATCTGGTGGCGAGGCCTTTAGATATTGAAGGGGTGTGGCTGCGGCTATTATTTTGTAAGCGTGACCGCGGGTGGCATCTGCACACTGCCGCTCGCTCCTCACTTGTCGAGGGCCTTTGCCGCCTCGCGGAGACCGCGGGCGAGTCCGTCGTGGATCAGCGCCGTCTTTAGAACCTCCTGCAAGGCCGTGTTCACGTCCATGGGTCCGCCGCTGACACTGAGGACGCACGCGCAGTGACACACGCACACGTGAGAGTGATACTAAAACTATTGCAAACAATATAGCTGAGTTAAATTTCGAATTAAAGCTTTGGTGACTGCAGGGATTCATCTTCTTGGTTCTTTCGGTAAAGTCACGTAGAAGGGAAATAATAAAAATAAAACATAATAATTCTCACGACGTTTCGGCCACAACGCAAGCAGCCGTCCTCAGGTGAAGAACAGGTCTGTCAGAAAGACAGCGTGGCTTTACCGAACCAAGATGAATATAGCTGAGCTTCGTGGCGGTGATGGCGTGTACACGTGGTTGTAGGAGTATATCGTCAATGATTATCTTCATCATAATTATCCCCAATGATATACTGTGGAATTAACCTCATCCTAAATCCGTGAGTCTGCAATGCATCACTTTTTAGTATTCAGCAGAGTATGTGTTGCTGGTAAGGTACCAGTGAAAGTGACACCAGTACGATACTAAACTTTTTATTTTACCAGGCAAGGCCCACTGCGCTACACAGCTCTTTTTAAATCCTTTATATTAAGTTCACTTGCTTGCTTACGACCGTGCAAATCTTTCGGTCGTTTTTTAACCCACTTCCCGTGATCCAATCGAGCTGACATTTTTGCACACAGACTCGATGTGCGTGACAATTTATTTTCGTGAAAATTTTTCCTAAATTTTCCACTTTTTATGAAAAAAAAATTTTCATATTTAATTTAAAATACCAATGTGATAAAATGAAACTCTTACTCAAGAAAAACAGAAATGAATAATAAAATAAAACCGATGCAAGCATATAAAGGATTTATAGTGAAAAACTTTGTTTTTACGGGTTAATTTTTTCAGAAGCGACCTGGCCACAAACGATAGCTCAGCTTAGTGGCTGATCACGTGGATATTAAGAGCAGCCAATTACTCGAACCTAGTGGGGACATTCGTGCAGATGCAGTGGCACACGTGAGTAGAGACATTTCTAACACATCCAGTGGATCTACCCCGCTGCCTGCTCAGAAGACGTTCTCACTCATCGATGAGTGATTGGGAATCCGACGTCAAGTTCATCAACACAGCTACGCGGGTACTGGGCCTAGAGAGCCCTGGTGTGGCACCACGAGCCCTCGTCAATAAAATGCGGCTTCAGCCTGGCTCAAAGAACCTGGTGCATTAACAACAAAGCCTACATCATCGTAGATTCCAAGAACACAGGATGAGATGTTACTATCCTTTGTGCAAGCACTTCCAAGAGTTCATGAACAGTGAGCCTGGTGAAATTTGGGGAGCGCATCGTCAGTAGTGAACCTTTGGTTCCTAGGGTGTTTCGGCCTTTCACACTATACACGCTCCCCAAAGGCGGCCAGCGACAGGGTGATCAATCCTACGCTTGCGTCCCATTCCCAATTTAGTCATAGGAGTTGCCCGAGTTCTGGCTCCGAAACCCTAGAGAATACCCTTAAAACTATCGCAACCCGTGTGTGTTTTAATCTGCCTCCGAAAAAACTACCCTGAGCACAACTCCATCGAGTGCTACTCCACAAACTTAAATGTACGTTTCGATGTAAAGCTTTCGTGACTGCAGGGATTCATATTCTTGGTTTCTTCGGTAAAGTCACGTAGAAGGGAAATAATACAATATAAAACAATAACATTTAGTTTTATATTTGTATTATGTTGGCTTCCGACAACGATGTTATCCAGCAGCATTTTGCTTAAGCGAGCAAACTGTGCATTGTGAACCAACGCATAGATAGCCCTCTCGTGTGTGGCACTACCTGGGGACTTAAAACTTTACCCCATCCACGAAGTGCTCTTGCCAATTACATCTGGTTGTCAGACCGATTGTATTTTTGTTTGCATCTAGAATTAAAACAAATATGCCACTCAAAGCGCAATCACATTAATACTCAACATGGCATAATTAAAGCCTAAACAATGATAAAACAATATAAATGTTGAAACAAGTTTGCGTGTTTTAAACAAATGCTGCTGGATAATATTGGTCTACAGAGCCAAATATGTCAATATATTATTAAAGTATATATACATGTGAGGAATACAATTCTGCTGATATTTGAAAAGAACAAAGACTTTGGGACTACGCGCCTCGCACATGAACACAGAACTTTAATAGGTCAAAAGTTAACCTCAGTCTGGGCCCTCAATAATTCACAACGCAAAATGTAAAATGTTACGAGGGCTACTTAGTCTGCTTGCTCTACGGGCCTCAATAATTATAACGCAAACGATTGGAACCAGAGAGCCCTTAACTCTGGCACTGCGAGTCATGGGGCACAGCACTTGGGGACTACTAAAGCAGCCCGAGTCGAACTACGAATCTGAAACATTAACGTTGATAATTGAAACCACAAATATGTCCTTAAGTCTCAAGCGCAGACTCGAAAACTCGGCTTACACGACCGCCTCACGTGCCACCAGGGAAACCTAAGAATCGTACACAACAACACGTTTATTTCTAAACTTTGTTAACAAGTTCCCAGATTCCGGCTACAATTAATAGCTGGGGTGGGTGGGTTGAGGGGGGAACGTAAACTAGTCCTATTACAATGCTCGGGTCAACCTTATAGGTCCGGCGCGTTATCAACTCGGGTGTGTAAAGCGGTGAAACACTTACGCCTCCGCCTCCGCCATTTCGTTCGTTTACCTGCGAAAACAAAAGCGACGTGATGAGTCGGGCTGCTCGCCGCGACATCGAGGCGCGCGTACATGGCGACGAAACGCGCGGATGGTGTCGGATGAAGGCGGATGGCGCGCGATGGAACGGAGAGGAATACTCACTAATGGCTTCCTCGGCTGCCGGGCACGGGAGAGAGAGAAGGCGGATGTGACGTCACTCTTTATATGTAGTGGGGGGGAGGCAGGGTGTGCGTGACGTCATGTAACCCGTAAAGTGTTCTGCGCGTGACGTCACGCACTCGTATACCGGGACGGATTACCGGGAGAGAGTTGCGACGTCACGTTCCATCGAGCACGCGGTGGTTGTACTGACGTCATGAAACGCGGTCCTATCGAATAATTATGACGTCATTTTTCCATACACTTTAGACAAAATATATTTTTAAACGTGAAAACATACACAGTACTATAAAAGAGGTTTTTTTTTGGGTTAGATCGCGTAAATATATTAATATATAGACTGGTATACAGGAGGTCATGGGTTCAATCCTGACCCTGATACGCCTGTATATTTGAAGTTTGCATTTCCTCCCCGTGGTCGCGTGGATTTTTCTCCGGGTCCTCCGGTTTTCCCCTCCACGTTTAGAAGTATGCCTTGATGGTATTCGGCTGCTATACATTGCCACGCGGTAAGCCACCTGGTTGAGCTGTTATTTGTGGCCAAGTCGCTTCTGAAAAAAAAGAGCTACACACAACTCAGTGGGCCTTACGTGGTCACAAAAATATAGTTTCATCTTCTTGGTTCTTTCGGTAAAGTCACGTAGAAGGGAAGTAATAAAATAATAAAAATAAAACATAATATTATTATATTATTTTATTATGTTTTATTTTTATTATTGTATTACTTCCCTTCTACGTGACTTTACCGAAAGAACCAAGAAGATGAATCCCTGCAGTCACGAAAGCTTTAAATTGAAATTATAGTTTAGTTGGAAAGTGTAAACATCGCCACGTGGGAGACAAAAGGAGACATCGCCAGGTAAACACCGCCACGTGGGGATATCGTAGACATCGTAAACATCTTCTTGGTTCTTTGGGTAAAGTCACGTAGAAGGGAAAAATAAATAATAAAAATAAAACATAATATTTAAAGCTTTCGTGACTGCAGGGATTCATCTTCTTGGTTCTTTCGGTAAAGTCACGTAGAAGAGAAAAAAAATAAAATAATAAAATAAAACATAATATTTAAAGCTTTCGTGACTGCAGGGATTCATCTTCTTGGTTCTTTCGGTAAAGTCACGTAGAAGGGAAATAATAATAAAATAATAAAATAAACATAATAAAATAATTCTCACGACGTTTCGGCCACAACGCAAGCAGCCGTCCTCAGGTGAAGAACAGGTCTGTCGGGGAGACAGCGTCTGACGGCTGCTTGCGTTGTGGCCGAAACGTCGTGAGAATTATTTTATTATGTTTAATTTTTTTTATTTTATTATTTCCATTCTACGTGACTTTACCGAAAGAACCAAGAAGATGAATCCCTGCAGTCACGAAAGCTTTACATCGAAAAATCGTAAACATCGTAAACATCGCCACGTGGGAGACAAAGGAGGCCGGGCGCGGGTGCTAGCCACCCATTCCCTCGTGTGCCACCGTGCCGGCCTTCATAGGTGCTATTCCCTAACAGCACTTGCCCCAACAGTCTATTTAAGGCTATACGTGGCATCTTAGTCTTTGGTGGTTGCTACGATTTACAGAATTCAGCTACGCACCGTTCCCACAAGAGGGCAGCGTTGCTGTTCTGTGGGCACGCTCCCTCCGCGACACTCCAATACGATGAAAGATCTAACGATATTGACGATTATCGCGATAATATCAGCCCCCCCCCCGACAGCATTGTTAATTGAATTATATTAAGCGCTTGTCTTGGTTTGTTTGAATGTGCCTTGGTGGACTTCAACTGGAGTTGACTCATCACATTCGTTGTATTTAAAGGTCCCATGCGCGGTGTTATTGACATGGAATGTGTTGAATTTTTTTGGCTTTTTTTAAATATTTTATATTAAGTTCACTTGCTTGCTTGCTTGCGCGCTTACGACCGTGCAAATCTTTCGGTCGTTTTTTAATCCACTTCCCGTGATCCAATCGAGCTGACATTTTGCACACAGACTCGTTGTGCGTGACAATTTATTTTCGTGAATTTTTTTTCCCAAAATTTTACACTGTTTAGGGAAAAATATTAAATATTTAATTACCAATTGCTTAATGGTGGCAGACAATCATCTGACCCATAGGTGGCAGCCATCTCAAGCCAGAGGACGAGAGGACTCTAGCCGCCACGCATATAAAGGATTTATAGTGAAAAACTTTGTTTTTACGGGTTATACACTTGTTGTCAAATTGAGAGCCGCCCCCTCGCTCTGCCGCTGACGCCGCGTGGCTGTGGGGGAATGTGTTCCGGAGCACAGCCCAGGGCAGCTCCCGTCGAGAGACTCCAGGTACTGGGCATGGAAAAAAAAATTTCACTAACACAATCATATATTTTTTCCTAAACACAGAAAACTATTCAAGAAAACAACAAAAATGTACAATATAAACAATCATACAAAAACTGAAAACCTTATAATCCTTATATACGACTTTCCTTATATTTAATTTAAAATACCAATGTGATAAAAATGAAACTCTTACTGAAGAAAAACAGAAATGAATAATAAAATAAAACCGATGCCACGCATATAAAGGATTTATAGTGAAAAACTTTGTTTTTACGGGTAATTTTTTTCCCAAATAAAAATTGGCGCATTCCTAAATCAGGAATCCGAATATTGGCTTATACTGGAGGAATCCGATGAGCTATAAATATATTTTTTCACACCAGGAGGGTCTTAAACGACACAAGTGAGATCAGATAATACGCGGCCCTCTACCTAAACATAAACTACGGGATGAAAACAAACGGAATGATACGATAATCTCGGATCTTATATATCGTACGATATATTTTTCGACCAGAGTGAAACTAATGGGGCGACGGCTCTTTGAGGACACGCATGTGCTGCATCAATTGCACCACGACACCTCGCTGACCTCGTCAAGGAGGGTAAACCATCACGCCAACTCCGAGGGTTATCCTCGCAGCAACAGCAATAGCAGCGGCGGCGGTGGCGGCTTTTGGCGAATCATCGAATAAAGACGGGCACTGAATGTCGCGCTTCAGGATGGGCTTTTGTGGCCGTCTGGAACGCTCCTCCCTTCCGATATTAAGAAGCCACTGCAGCGATGCACTTTCAATCTACACTGAAAACTCATTTCTTTAGAACTTATTTTTCGAGTTTAGTTTGCTGCTCTTCCCTCGCGCCTCCGATTAGCACGGTGGTTACGTACGGCGCGAAAGAAGTTCGACGCAAATACGGACAATATGTACCAGAGACACACACGTGCACACAAAGAAAAATATCCCCCGTATAGCCTAACGACTTTTGGGGCAAGTGCTGTTAGCGAGGACCTATGAAGGACGGCACGGCGGAAAGAAGGGGTGAGTGGCCAGCACCAAGCCCGACCGCCTTTGCCTCTAGAGTGTTTATGTCTATATCACACCAGTTCTATGCTGAATCAACCTAGGGGAGGCCCAGGATAGGTTCAGATAATTGCCACTGCTGTTGACCCTAAGTGGGAATCGAACCCGGGTCGCCGGGTTTGTAGCGCAGCACGCTAACCACTGCCCCACCGCTCCCCGAGCAAAGACAAAAACCCCCCGTATAGCCTAACAGACTGTTGGGGCAAGTGCTGTTAGCGAGCACCTATGAAGGCCGGAACAGCACACGAGGGGGTGGGTGGCCAGCAACCACCCTCGGCCACCTTTGTCTCCCTAGTGGCGATGTTTACATACCACCCATAGGTACTCATTTGATTCTGAGTCGACCTAGGGGAGGTCCAGGCCGTTCAGATAATCTTCAACTGGTGTTGGCCGTGAGCAGGAACGAACTCGGACGCAGGTTCATAGCGCAGCTGCGCTAACCGCTACAATACCGCTCCCCCACTGCACACACTCTCACACACACAGACAATACACCACTCTCACCACCACACGCACACTCACACACTCTCAACAACACCCCGCACACTCACACACTCTCACACACACGCACACTCTCACACTCACACACACACAGGACACTCACACACTCACACAACGAGCACACTCTCACCACACACGCACACTCTCACGCACACCACACACTCTCACACACACGCACACTCACACACTCTCACACACACGCACACTCTCACACCTCTCACACACGCACACTCATACACGCACACTCACACACTCTCACACACACGCACACTCACACACTCTCACACACACGCACACTCTCACACTCTCACACACACGCACACACACACTGTCACACACACGCACACTCTCACACTCTCACGCACACTCACACACTCTCACACACACGCACACTCTCACACTCTCACACACACGCACACTCACACACTCTCACACACACGCACACTCTCACGATCGCCCCGGTATCCCTGATCTCCACAGGAGACCATCTCTGTCTTTAAAAGAGCACTCGGCTCTTTCGTCGGTATCATGAATAATGCATTCAGAAACTATCGCCATTCGAACCACCACCATCAGCACCACCACGATCAGCACCACCATGAGCCAATCTACATCATAGCACCACCATCAACACCAAAAACAAAGATCCCCCGTATAGCCTTAAGAGGACTGTTGGGCAAGTGCTGTTAGCAAAGTACCGATGAAGGCCCGCACGGCACACGAGGGGGTGGGTGGCCAGCACCACACCCGGCCGCCTTTGTCTCCCCAGCGGCGATGTTTACGCACCGCACCAGGTACTTGTTTGAGGTTGAGTCGACCTAGGAGAGGCACAGGACCGGTTCAGATAATCGTCACCGTGTTGGCCGTGAGCGGGAATCGAACCCGGGTCGCCAGGTTCGTAGCGCAGCGCGCTAACCGCTACAC